AACCTTTTTGATGCGGTTATTATCCCTGGTGGCCTAGAGAGTTCTAAGACTTTGGCAAGCGTAAGTTGCTGAGCCTATTTTTTATCTATAGTCGCCCGAGGTCGGTTCTTTTCTACGTAGCAACGCCACTGCCAATAAATTTATTGCAGCTATCTGTGCTGGACCAATCGCATTGAAATCTCATAATATCTGTTTGGGTCAAAGGCTTACTTCCTATCCGTCAATGAAGGATAAATTTGATGGTAGATGTAATTTTTAACCCTATTTGAAGGTTATGTTTATGTCGAAGAGCCTGTTGTCGTCGATGGAAAGTTAGTTACTAGTCGAGGGCCGGGAACAGCTATACAATTTGCCCTCATGTTGGTGGAGCTTCTCGTTAACAAGGAAACAAGAGAAAAACTGTCTAATGGAATGCTTCTTTAAATCTATTTTTAATTTTTGAACTCTAAATAAATAGCTCGTCGCAAAAGCCATTTTTAATCTTTAGCTAATAGCAGTTTATCACACAAATTAATTCATTTTAGCTTGTTACATGTCTCAGTCTAGAAAAACGAGAAGGGGATTGACCGTAACAAATTCGCCTAGATCCACTCGTTTACATTCAGATGGAACTGGCATCCTTGGGTCACCTCCCGCATCTATTACCTCCTTTGAGAAAAGAGCTTGTAATACTAATGCTCGATCCGTGCCAAAGGATGATGTACAGTCTAGTTCTCGTTCTGGTTTCATGCCCACACATTCTGGACGTCGTATTAATAAGGCGATGCTTAAGCCCAAGCACGATTGTAAACTTTGTTACGATGAGCATTGGCCTCTTGATAAGATGAAATATGGTCTGAGCCAGGGTCTACTTGTTCAAGTGAGTTCTTATTAGCTTTTTTAGAATTTTTCCCCGTGTGGTCTTCAGATTTTTAAACTTTCAGGGGCATATACGAATAAGCGTAAAAAAATACAGCGAATGTTATGTAAGACATCCTGTGAGTTCTAACCAAAGGTTTTTTTTCGTATATTTGCTTTTTGCTTTCTAAGAAATGCTTGTTTATTTTTAAACTAGTCAGGCGATGCTGATATATTGATCTCAGGGATGCAGTCTCGTAATAGAGCACTCAATAATGATAT